GGAGACTGGTTTCTCCTTTCTCAGATATAAGAATTCAGACACAGAAATAATGGAATAAAGGACAAGGATTTTCCCCTAATGGGACTACTGAGGACCAGCAACCCCTGCTTTTGGGAATGGAATAAGCTCTTCTCCATAGGGCAGAGGCGATGACAGTTGTGCCACATTTTGAGGGTATTTTAGGAGTCTTGGGGATACATGACAGGAATGTTTGTTCCAGGGATTCAGTTACTGCTTGGTGACTGATGCTCATTTGGCCTTGTGTCCAGCACTTGACAGGCGGTTTTATATAGAACTCTGCTGAGTCCTAGAGGTAAAAATATGACACATGTTTTAAACAGATGCTTTGACATGCGGTTTTAAAAGGATCCCAACACTTCAGACCTACTCATGTGACTGAACAAAGAGATTGAGAGTTTTTCCCCTCGGATGTTAACTGTGAACACAGATTTGCAGGTAACAGTTACTGTGTACAGACCTGTGGAAGGAGCTGAGAGAAAGAGGGTAGCCAGGCTTCAGAGATAACTGACTGGAAGGCAAGAGTCTTTGGGGGTGTATGGTTAACCCTGCTGTTCCCACAATGAGTAATTAAAAAAAATCAAGCTGAAGCTTCCAAGTTCAGAGTCAAGGTAAAATAAAGCACTCCACAAATACATCAAAGGCCTGAATTCTAATGTTCTTCCTCACAGGTTTTACTGGGTAGACATCTTGGCACTTTCTCACTTATTTTAACTCTAACCTGATTATGGCAGTCTGTATTTATCCTTGGGGTATGAATAAGGTTATAAAATTCAGGTTCTTAGTTAGAAGTGAAGGACAACATCCAATCTAGTGTTCATCAGTTCATACAAAAATAAAACACAATGAACGCAGATGATGGCATTCTCCAGAAATGAGAACATTTTTTTCCTTTGAAAACAGTGGGGTTAGGGTTAGGAACCCTAACCCTAACCCTAAGTAATTCTTATGACTAAGAAAATGTCCGACATAGGACATTAAGGTATTTATATCATATTTCTACATGAGGTTTCATACCTTATAGAACTATTTAAAACATATGTTTCTCCTGTCTAAGGTAAGTAAGGTCATTGTGGCACAACCCCTTTATTTCTCAAGGTGAAAATATCGCTTGGAATATACTCATTTTTGTTTATGCAGGAGTTACCTCCTAACTTATTATTACTGTTGTATTGTTTTCAGGTTAAAAATCAAAATCAAAATTGAAATCAAAACACAAACCCCCAAATCTCAAAACACACACACACACACACACACATACACACACAAAGAGAAACACTTGTACAGAACCAGAAATTTTGTCTAGAGGGAACTGTCCATTCCTTTGTGGTAGGTGCTGATGGAAGGTGACTGAAACAATAATTCCTGACAACACTGTTTGCTTCATATTTTAGCTCATATTCTTAAACATATTTCTACATGAGGTTTCATACCTTATAGAACACATCTCATATGCATTATTTTACATGAATCCCAGAATAACTCTTTGAAAAGACTTATTTGATGTAATTTCTTAGTCTCATTTCACATATGTGAAAACTGAGTCTCTTCCAGGCATCCTCAAACTGCGGCCCGCAGGCCACATGCAGCCCACCTACGACATTTAGCCGGCCCACCGGGTGTTTTTGCCGCCGCTGCCTGTCCTGCTTAGCAGCTGACTCATCACGGGGCCCGAAGTCTGGCCTTCCAAAGATCTGAGGGATGGTGAACTGGCCCCCTGTTTAAAAAGTTTGAGGACTCCTGCGTAACTCTAGTGACTTACATGTGCTCCCACTAGAACAAAGTAACTAGAGCTATTGCTTATGTTAGGCCAGCTCTGTCTTCTCCTAAGTCTGCTCTTTTATGCTCAATTAAGTGCTGTACAATAAAATAGAGAAAGCACAGTATTATTAACACTAGTGGTAAGATCGTAGATTCTGGAACCAGTTGAGTGGAGTTGTGGTGCTGGCTCTGTGATTTGCAGACCATGTCACACTGGCCAGCTTACTGATCCTCCTAAGCCTCAGTTCACTCACTTATGAAAAGAGAATAAAAGTAGCAACCCCTTACGGCCGATACGCTGCTAAGTGAGCTACAGTGGTGTTTGGCACCCAGTAAACGCTATTATTATTATCAAGGTTATTGCTCTCCTTAAATTTTTGTTCCTGTTATATCTTTATGTTTGCTTTTGTTTATTTCTGCATAGTCCATGAGATGATTCCCCAGGTAGCACTCAGTAGCATTTGGGGAAAAAAAAAAATGAGCATTTCCAGATGAAAAATACATCTTCAATGTAGAAAATGAAAAGGTCTCTGACAATTTGTATTTTGCTGTCTTTACAGTGCTTAATTTTGCAATGGTTTAACTGAATTGAGTTTTCTTTCTTAATATTCTCTTAAAGCAACCTAGATTTTGCAATCATATCCTTTAAATGAATACCATCATATTTCTACTATTATAAGGTGGCCAAGTAAGATCTAAAACTACTGTATTGTACATTTGATTATATATTCTAACAAGGCTATTGTTGACCCACATGGTATATGGTAAGAATTAGAAAAAGAAATTCTTTCTTCTGCATGGAATTAACTTTTCACCAGGACACTTGGCTTCACAAATCCAGTACTGGGAGTTCAGCTCCATATCATCCCCCTGGCTGGATGCCTTTGTGCAGTGAACAACCTGAACAACTGTATGCAATGACCCTGTCTTCCAGTGTCCTACAGATTACACAACTGATGCAGCTAAAAAAGAGCTAAAACAAGAAATCTGAGCATGACATACCTCATGATACTTTTTCACAGTTTTCCCTGAATTGCACGTGCAGGACTTCCAGTTGGCAGTTCCACAGCCACAATTCCCTCCACAGCGCTGCACAAGGAGGCAGCGTGGAAAGAAGACCACACTGGTCAGCTTCAGCTCCTCTCTTAGATTGACTGAGTAATTCCTGGGAGTGCAGCTGTAACGCCTGACATCCTCATTGAGCCTGTCCAGGTCAACTGTAAGCAAATACACACAGTGTGAGCAAACTCTACTGTAAGACAGGGCAGACAGCTCATGTTACTGGGAATGGAGTGAGAAGACTGTTCGGGAGCCACCTTAACCCAGGGATTGAATTTCTCCTTAGCATCTCAATTACTGTACACCTAACGTGGAAAACCTGATTTCTCTTCTCATCCTATATGCCCTTCATAACAACCCCCCAAACAAATAAAAACAAAGAAAAAAATGTTCTGAGGGAAGAAAATAAAACATTTGGCAATTTAAAATAATGGTCTTTATTAAAAAAATACAAAATAAATTGCTTCTTGATTTTAAATAATGCCTGACTCTAAGTCATTACTTAAATATAATTGGAATTATATCTAGGTCACATTATGGGCAACCACCCTAATATATTTACCTGACAATGAAATTTTGCAAGAAATACAAGGAAGCAAAGGTTTTAGTTTCATTTTAACTCCAAAGTCCACCACAATGTTAAAGGAAGTGGAATTCTTTTGCTGAGAACACGGTGCCTATCTGTGCATCAGGTCCTAGGTGGCAGCAGAGCATAGTGCCAGGTGCTTGTG